TGTAAAGGTACAAGATCCCAATGATGAATGTAACTGTATTTTATACCTAAAATGTACCAATAAACTTAATGGAAAAAAAAAGAAAAAATGGTAGAAAACTTCCTAAATATAGAGGGAAAATTAAACATACAGTTAAGGCACAGAATTCCAAATAGCCACAATCAAAAATGAAACAGGGCCAGGGATTTAGCTCAGTAGTTCCACTTCCTGCCTTGCAAGCACAAGGTCCTGAGTTCAATCCCTGGTACCAAAAAACAAAACAAGACAAAAATGAACCTGTCTACAATATGTCATAGTCAAAATCCCCAAAATCCAACACAGGGACAGAATCTTAAAAGATGTTAGAGAAAAGCAATGAAATACTCATAAAGGTTATGAGTATAAGAATTACACCAGACATTAGAATTACAGCAGACATTTCAGCACAAACATTCAATAACAAGAGAGCTTAGAGTGAAATGTTTCACTGCTAAAAGAAACCAGCTATCAACCCAGATTTAAATATCCTACAAAAATCTTTCAAAAGGGCCAGGGATTTATCTCAATGCTGCCACCGCCTGCCTTGCAAGCACAAGGACCTGAATTTGATGCCTGATAACAAAAAAAAAAAAATCTTTCAAAACTGATGAAGAAATAAGGTATTTCCATGACAAAGAGCACCTCAATAAATTCGGAACCACCCAACCAGCATTACAAAAGATTCTCAAAGATGACCTAGAAAAAGAAAATGATACCTATAATGCCAAAAAAGTCAAGTAGAATGAATACACCAGAGTAAGCAGTTAAGCAGAAGATGGAATAAAAAAAAGGAAATTAGCAACAAGAAAATAATGCAGTGACAGGAATAATGTAGTATCTTTCAGTAATAACATTTATTATGAATGTTATGGTCTCAATTCCCCAACCAAAAGACAAAGATTGGCAGAATGTATCAAAAATCAAAACCCAACCATATGTTGTTTATAAGAAACACATTTAATCCAAAAGGAAATGGACAGATTAGGAATCAAAGAAAACAATACTCTATGCAACGAGAACCCGGCCAAACCAAGGACAAACCTATGGCCAACATCATATCAAATAAGGAGAAGCATCAGGAACAAAACAGGATGTCTGCTATCACCATTCCTGTTCAATAGTTTTTCAAACATTAGCCAGAGCAATCAGGTAAGAGAAAGAAATAAAAGGGATATGTATAGGAAAGGAAGAATTCAAATTATTATTTGCAGAAGACATGATCCATTATATAGAAAATCCAAAAATCTCCACCAAAAGACTCTAGAATTAACAACCAAATTTGGTAACATAGTAGGATACAAAGTCAACACACAAAAATCTATAGCATTCATATACACCAATAGAAAACTCATGGAGAAAGAAAGTAGTAGCATCAAGAAAAATTAAATACTTAGCAATTAAGCTAACCAAGGAAGTTAAAGACATCTATGAGAAAAACTTCAGTACTCTGAAAAGAGAGATCAAAGAGGACATTAGAAAATAGAAAGCTATCCTCTGTTCCTGGATAAGCAGAATACTGGCCACATTTCCAAAATTAATACACAGATTTAATGTAATTCCAAACAAAATACCAATACCATTCCTAACAGAACTAGAGAAAACAATCCTACAACTGATTTGGAACCAGAAGAGACCAAAAATAGCAAAAGCAATCCTGGGCAACAAAAACAAAGGAAGAGGCATCACAATCTCAAAATATAAGTTATACTACAAAGCTACAGAGATTGAAAAAAAACAAAGCATGGTATTAGGGGAAAAAAAAGACATGTAGATCAATGGAACAGAATAGAGGATGCAGAAACAACTTCAGACACATTCAGCTCCCTGCTCTTCCACAAAAGGGCCAAAAACTTGTGCTGGAGGAAAGACAGTCTTTCTAATAAATGATGCTGCAAAAACTGGCTATCCACATACTGAGATTGAATATAGTCCCATATCTCTCACCGTGTAATAAACTAACATCAAAGTGGATCAAAGATCTAAATGTTAAAACAGATACAATATACTTGAAGATAAAATAGTTAAAACTCTAGGTATAGGTATAGGCAAAAACTTTCTAAACAGAATCCTAGTGGCACAAGAAATAATGCCAAGAATAAACAAGTGGTATCATATCAAATTAAAAATCTTCTGCAAAGCAAAGGAAACAACAATGAAGAGAAAAGCTACAGAATGGGGAAAAAAATTTGCCAGCCATTCCTTGGACACAGGACTAATATCTAGAATATATAAAGAACTCAAAAATATGGCCCCTTAAAATAAAAGATCCAATACAAATGGTCAATAAACACATGAATAAATGTTCAATATCTTCAGCCATTACTAAAACGTAAATTGAACAGCACCGAGATTTCATTTTACTCCAGAAAGAATGGCAATCATTAAAGAAGTCAAATAATAACAAATGCTGGTGAGACTGATGGGGGAAAGAAACCCTTATAAATTATTGGTTAGAATATAAACTAGTACAAGCATTATGGAAATCAGTACAGAGATTCCTCAAAACACGAAAACAAGAAATTGCATTTGACCCAGATAGTCTCCTTCTAGGTAACTTCCCAAAAGAGTTAAAGACTAATCTTACAGTGATACATGCATACCCATGTTTATAGCAGCATAAATCACCATAGCTGTATCTTGGAAGCAGTCTATATATCCATCAGTAGATGAATGAATAAGAAAATGTGCTATTTATACACAATGGAGTACTATTGTGCTATAAAGAACGATAAACTTGAGCTACTTGTAGGTAAATGGATGCAAGTCCAGACAATAATATTAGGTGAAAAAAATCAGACATACAGGCTTAATTATTGCATAGTTTCTTACAATATGAGAAACTCAAAATATCAATAAGAAAAAAAATTTTTAAATGCATCACAGGAAACAGGGAGATAGATCTTTTGCAAATGGGAATGCGCCCAAGAGATGGAAGAAGGGTAAGGAAGAGCGTTAAAAAAAAAAAGAGAACTGAAATATGTACATGTTATGTACATGTACCAATTCCTCACAAGAAATGTGATTATCATGTACTAAATATGTACTTTAAAAAGACTGTAAAAAAGTATAAAGAATCTTCAAAAAAAAAAAAATCACAGGGCAAATCTGTCTCTGATGTAAATCATCTAACATTTGTTTCTAGTTTTTAGCAGCTAAAGTTTAACTGCCAAATGAGCCAACCACCATCTACCATATCTACTTAGTTTCCATGAAAAGAGTACATATAGTTAAATGTAATATATTATTAATTCATACATAAATGCTCTAAATGAAGCAAATGGTGACTTTACCGTTACAGAAACATTAACTTCCAACTCTTTACTCTTGATAGACACAAAATCACAATACTGATTAGGATAAGGTTCTATTAAACTAGGAAAGAAATCACAGCTAAGTTTATGATACAAATAATTTTTATTCTGGAAGGCTCAAAGTCCTAGAATAGTTATAACTGTTACCTGCAAATGTATTTTTCAAGGTAAAAATGAAGAATAGGTTCTCATTTATCTTAGATGCAAACTATACAGTACCCTATATAAATCTTTTCTTTTTTGCCAATTCCCATTTCCAAAGCCCAAAGCCCAAAGAGTAAGTAAATTAGAGGCCCAAAGGGAAATTACAATGTGAGTAGAATAATTATTTCCATTCCTTTTCCCCTCTAACTTAAATGTTGATATTATTTTCTTGATTTACATTAATTACCCTAGAATAGCTACAATTCTAAGTGCCTTCTCACTTTAGGTTATGTTTTTATTTTTATAGACATATGTATAAATGGAAATAAAAAATCCAAAAAAATGTTTTTAATTTAAAACCAACATAATCAATATATACCAAAGTAAAGGTACTTTGCAGATATCCACACACAAATAAATCTCCACTTTTTAATAAGAATAAAATTTCATTAAAATTTTTCTACGCTGAACCTTAATGGATTATTATCTGTGGAATTTTCTTACCAGTACTTTTGAATACTACATGAGTTGGTCTATCCTTCATTAGAAGATCCAAAGCTGACAAGCCTTCTTTATCTTGCATATACAGACTAACACCATGCTAGAAAAAGAAAAGAATATACACAAGTATGTATTTTATCAGTTTACCTATAATTTCCAATTCTTAAATGTCAAAGATGATCAAGCTCATAAATACATTGTGCAAAGAAAGATAAACATTTAATAATAATTATCTCTCATATTCACACACATTTTTCTCTCACATGCAGAAGAAAATTTTAAAAAATCAACATCTGATTTTTGGTGGGAAGAGGAAAGACTAAAAAATGCAAAGAAATAAATCAAAATAACTAGATGTGGAACAGTTTTCCAAAGTCAGTGCTATAGTTTAGATACTGAATATCCCCAAAGGCCCATGCATAAAAGGTTTGGTCCCCAGCCGTGGCACTATGGGAAGGTAGTAGAATCTTCATGAGATGTGGCCTCCTGGGCTGTCGTAGGTAACTGTGAGTTTGCCCTCAAAAGGCCTTGTGGGATGCTGGTCTCCTCTCTCTTTTGTCTCCCAGCCACCACTCGGTGAGCAGTTTGCTAGGCCACCCTCTCCTGGCCATGATGCCTGGCCATGATGTATGCTACCACAGGCCCAAAGTAGCAGGGCCAATCTGTCATGATCTGCAATCTTCAAAAATAGGAGCAAAAATAAACCTTTCTTCTTAATGAGTTATCTTCAGTATTTTGTTACAGTAACAGAAAACTAATACAGTAAGAGAGGTCTGTTTGCCTAGGCTCTATTTCTGTGACTGTATCTGTGTGGGTATATATATTTGCATAAACACATTCACATTTTGTAGTTAAAGAGCCATATTCCATTTCTTTACAAGTTAAGGTTATGAAGAGTCCAAGGCAATGGGAGCACAATATTTAAACTGGGATTAACTTTTTCTTTATAGTGTAATCATCTATGCCCCATTTCTTTTTGCCTACAATTGTATTATATCTATTAAGACAACATTTTCTTTTTATTTCTATTTGTGAGATATATATTTTCTTATCTTTCCACTTACATACAGCATTATTTATAGTATCTTATAAATCACATGTAGACTGTATAAAAATGTGAGTGTCCATACACGTGTTATACATAAGGAGAAATTTAAAGTATAATTTTCATCTCTTCAATCAAACATGAAATGGAAATATTTTCTCTCTCCTGTTTTTAAGGTAATTATTACACTTAACCCCAATTGGCATGGCATACTCTTCTGTCTTTTTAAACAAGTATGGGTGGAGAAGAGGACAGAAAGCAATATTAAATTCAGATTATTGTTACTTCATTTGTTATTAAATATGTTACTCTTTTCAAAGAATAACAATATTTGCTGACAGTTTAATAAAGCTTTCAACAATTATTCAGATTTATCTACTATAAGTACTATGAGTCATCACTGCCTGTCACATATAGTTTACCTGATAGTTAAAAGCTGATATGAACCATTAAGGTCTTTAGAAGTACAACAGTGACATGCTAGTATACTCTGTTTGGGTTACTTAAAAAAGTGCAATCTTCCCTTACATCATCAACAATGCATTTCTATAAACTAAAACAAAATTTAGTTTCCTTGTGTTCCAGACGGTTGTACCTGACTCCATAACATCTGTCAAAAAAAAAAAGATAATCACAGTGTACTCACAAGTAAAATGAAAGTCAGAAATGATTGTTTAAAGTCTTAGTAAATTTAAAATTGTACATTTCAAACACAAATACAATAAATCCTTGTGGGAGGATCTGAACTTTGCCTTTATAATAGTAAAGAGGATAGATTCTAGGGATGAGAGTTTCAAACTATGAATATGACAAATGAGAATTTAGTAACTTAGATCTTAAAGAAGTTTTTTTCACCAATTTTATAAATTTGTCCTGAATTTTATATATACCACCTGGATCCTATTAAGACCATATCCATTTGCATCATCCTAACTAGACTCAAATGCATAAACTGATAGGTCTCCCACTACCTCAGCAGCTATTATGTATAGTAGCTGCCCTCTTCCTATTGTGCCTTGCCCCCTCCCCTGTGTGACGTCATGCCAAGATGGTTGCTCCCACCAAAGAATAAACCCTTCTTCCCAGTATGGCCCTGTTCCCACTTAGAAAGTAACCTAATACTCGCTCAACTCCTACCACCTAGTGACATCACCGGCTCCTCCATTCCCTAGTCACTACCTCACTCAACCCCGCCTCAGACCCTACAAACTCCACCCCAGTCTCTATAAAAGACTCTCCCTGCCCTGGCCATATTGCTTTTGTCTCTCCTTTGTTCAGAGACAGCCCGGCAGATCTATTCCCCTAATAAAGGCTTGTTGTGGCCTGGTCTGGTCTTGGTCTTTGGCCTTTTACCTGACATAAACAACTAGTGACAATTTTTTGCCTTTAGAGCTCCCTAGTGCTCTCTGACACTTTCTGTTTATCTTGAATTCTAAAAGTTAGGACCAGCATGTAGTCTATTCCACTTAACTTTTTATACATTTATACTCAACTCTTTATACATTTACCAAAATGGCAGATAAATTCATTAACTCACTAAACACCATTTAAGTATATACCAGGTTTTACACATAAGTTATTCCAGTATAAAACACTGGTAACACTATTAGAGATGACTGTCAGGAAATAAAGAAAACTGATTTTGTTTGTTTTAACGGTATTACCCAAAGCAGTACATAAGATAAAGGCTTACATAAGCAGTTTCCTTCAGAAGAGATTCTAGAAAGCAGTAATAAAGAACCAAGGAAATAAATTAAGGAAGAAGAAAACAATCAAAATAAGAATATAGTATTGAGAAGGCCAGTAAGCCAGTAAGGAGAGCTGTACAGAATCTGCAGGATATTCCAGGAGCCTTATACAATACAACACAGTGTAATTATTATCTAACGAGGGGTAAAGGGAGTAAGTTCTCTAAGAGGACTTAACACATACTTTCAGCCATTCATGCATGAGTGCCAAGCTCTAGGGCATACAAGAAGCATACAGTATTATTCCAGAAATAAAAACGTTAGAAGCCTAAATATAACTGGCCAAAACAGCTGTGACTGAATAAGAGATGAAGCCAAGAGAAGATAAAGTGGTTCAAAACATAGTATCTGATACACTTGTTCTTCAACTTGGTTTTGAGGTAAGTTGAATGAGTTTAACATAGCTCCCTGGCTGTTGCTGCCCATTTACTACCAAAAAAATCAAGATCAAAGAAATATCTCAAGACTGTATTTTTAGATAGGATAAAATAGGGATGAAATCCACACTCCTTCTTTCAAGCTGATTTTTTAATGCTTTGATAGCACTTTTGGATATACACTGGCTAGATGTCCTTCTACTTGAAAAAAACAGAAAAACAGGCATTCTATGATAGAAAACTTTTTTAGGTGAAGGGAGGATAATATTTCATATCAATTGTTCTAATTAATTTATACTTTATTTTAGTTTGAGAAGTTTTCTTTATAACTTGCTATTTGTTTTCCTATGTTACTAGCAGTGGTTCCTGTTGCATGCAAGAGCTCTAGTACACCAACATTTATTAAGCACATTCCTGTTTGTTCACTTATTTTATTTTGGTCATCTCTCTCTACTAATATAAAAACTCAAAAAACTGTCTCATCACTGCAGTATCCCTATTGCCTACATTACTGCCTAGCACATACCTGTAGCAAACACTCAAAGTATTTAAATACTTTACAGACGTCTTATAATTCTATTAGGTCTTCATATACCAGTGGGAAAAATCAAAGCAAGTTCTTCCAGAATAGTAAGTAAATTTCATCATATATATATGTATTTTTTTAAGTCATTCTGATAATTGATAGAGCAGGTCCCTACAAGTATCAAGAGCCAAACAAAAGTTATATAAGATATGCCATCTCTGCTGCAGCTTTTTGTAGATGGCCAGTTTCTAAGGTTTTATTTTTTTGGCAACCAAGAACTGATAGCATGGATGTATAATTTATTGTACAATTTATTTTGGCATTTAATTTTTAAATTATTTAGCTTTTAAGTTTTATCAAATGCAAATTCACTTAAAATGTCTACGTGTATATGATTTCTTCCTGCCAGTCCATACTACCTGAAGTACTATAGTTAGAATCAAAGTGGAACTATTAGTACAGACCAGATGCTAGGAACTAAGGATTTCACTCCTCCCCACCCAGTTGAGCTAGAGTACCACCCTAAGGTCATCCCTTCCTAATCACTCCCATTCACCCACTTGAACTCAGAGACCACCTTAGGAGCATTCCATATAATGCCGGAATAAAGGGTCTGCAAGCCTTTCTTCTTTCTGCTCTGGAGCCCAAGAGCCTCATTCATCGGCAAAGCCTGCAGTGTTCCTTTTCTGTTATGCACTTCTCTGTTTGTGACTTTCAATAAACATTGCTACTTTCCCCCCACCATTGTGTGTATGCTTTGCAATTCATTCCTTTCATACAGAAGAACTTTGAATCTACCATGTGGTAACAGTATTACAAAGGCTCCTCGATGAAGGTCTATCACTATACCTTTTCCAATTTAGAGTGCTAGAAGGCCAAAGGAAAGGATATGCTCAAGAAATGCAGATAGCTTACAAGGAGAATACAGTACTAAATGATTAAAAGAAGTTTTTATAAGAAAGTTTTATCAGTGGAATTTGACTGTTAGATCTGTGTTAGGTTATGATAAAAGACAGGTCAAACTAAAGAAAGTGGCCAGGGCACAATTTCCTGACTTCTAGCTAAGGTGATGAGACTGACTGAGGATGACTACAGGACATGAAATTCCAAAGGAGAAAGAAACCAAAATTATTTAAAACTGAAGCCCCAAATCTTGATAAATGAATCTCAACCTCCCCCAACTCCCTTTGATAGATTGCAGGAAACCCAAGGACCTTTCTCAAGCTTAGCCAAACTGTCAGTGATCCAGTATTCTAGCAGAAATTAGAAAAACGCCATTGTTTTGTAGGTGGGAAATGTAAAATGAAGCAGATATAACTCTTACTAAGCTAGCTTTCCCTGTAAAAGAGATTACTTAGGGAATTATGAAAGATTATAATAAGGTAATTAAGCACACTATGTTTTGGATATAAAAGGAATTTATTGTACTATTAGTGAACTTAAAATCTTTCCTTTATTGATGTTCACTAAGGGGAAAACAAGTTATAGATAAAACTCAAATTTGAAGAACTTATTCAAGATGACTCAGTAAGTAGTAGTCCTAAACCACTTAGTTGATATTTTACTAATATATATTAAAAATCATTTTGATCAGTAACTATTACTACATAAAAGTTACTATGTAAAAATTTTTTTAAGTCAAAAAGAAATGAGAAGACTAAAGGTAAGCTTCCTAAGTTGACTACAAGTTCCTTGAGGACAGATCTGTTTTGTTTTGTTTTGTTTTTTAGGACAGATCTGTTTTGTTCTTTTTTGGAGCCTGCACAAACATGATGTAAAATGTCTACACAAAATAGAGTTGTTAAATTTAAAATGCATGACTTCTGATAGTTTTTAATTTGCATTCATTAGTTAAATGACATTGGGATATATCTCAAAATGTTTCATTAAAACATAGGGTGCCCAAGGTCCCGAGTTCGATCCCTGGTACCAAAAAAAAAAAAACAACAACATAGGCTTAATCTACTGAATGAAAAATTTCTTATAAATAAGCTCAATTTATCAAGTTTTTACAACTACAAAAATTTTATCCTGAAGAAATGAATATATTACTCAAAACATGTCCATAAGTGATATTCAACTAATGCTCTTTTAAAGTGGTTAATAAGGGTCGGGTATTTAGCTCAGTGGCACTGTGTCTGTCTGGCAAGCACAAGGGTCTGAGTTCGATTCCTGGTACCAGAAAAAACAAAGTGGTTAATAACACTGTAAATCTCCAACTTACAAACATTCAATTTGCAAACTGAGACAGATATGCACAGAACTTGCGTGACTAACATTTGTAGATGTGAACAAGCTGCAGAAGTAGCTCATATGTCTACCTTCCCATTTTAAGGTAACTGTAAAAGTAAAAATATTTATTTATAGTATTTTTGTGTTTGGTTTTTTTATGCTTTACATTGTATATTTGCATTAAAGGTGTAAAAGACTCACTCTGTCAGACTTACAAACAAACCTGACTTAAGAAAGTTCTCCTGGAACAGAACTTGTGCAAAAGTCAGGGTCTTACTGTATTAGAGGCAGCTAAATTAGGTAGAAATTAATAGGCAGACTGAGACAGGCCCTTGAGAAAAATCAATGTAGAAGATTAGAACACATCAAAACTATGGCTGGAGGAGCATCTGAGGAAGAGATTAAAGGCACAAAGGCCAGACTTGCATACTTCCCTAAGGGATGAATGGAAATTTGAGATTATACTGTAATCAGTACCACCCAGTCCCTCACATCTAGATATGCATCAGACACCTGGATAGGTGACTAGAACACAGGGACTCATCCCTCCTCAAAATGTTCCTGTTTCAGAAGTCATAGATAAGAGAAGGTTAACGATGTCAGCCATACACCCTTGCTACTGTCCTGCTTCTGCTTCCCCATGGATCAGAATTAGCTAAACAGCTATACTTGTAATATTACTGGTTGATTCCAGTTTGACCCATGTGACCCACCTTGTGATTTTGTTCTATAAAACAAAGGTGGAGAAATGACTTCTGTGGCAACCAACTTCCAGGACCCTTTCTTTCAGGAGCTCTCTCTCAATAAATCTTTCCTGCTCTTAACCTCCCTCCTTCCTTGGAATTCATTCTTTGATTTCAGGGGACACAAACAGCACCATCTGACATTTAGCAGGTTGGGAGTTATATTTTTCTATATCAGTAATATGCTCACTTAAGAGTAAAGCATATTTTTTTAAATATTAAACAATCTTGTTAAAAAAATTAACTGGAATGCCATGACACTAGGGCTGCTCTAATACTTTAAGTTTACATAAGCATACCAAAGCTCAACATAAGCAAAACTAACCTTTAAGTAGGGTCTTTCCACTCTGGCTAATTAAACATATTTTTTTGTCTTAACTTGTCCATCAGCCCTTAAAAGCTTACTGTTCACGCTACTGTAGCAGATCTCTTTAAATCTCTCTGATTCTAAGCACTGCCCCATCAGGACTCATTCCTTATTCAAATAAAGTATGTTAAATTTATTTCACCTACAGTTTTTCTTCACATAGTATTGACTAAATGATAAAATGTCTGGGAGTTACTTCAAAATAATAAGGATACAAACAACACAAAATTGGCCAACAGTTCATTATGTATTGCAAATTTTGATATGTTTAAAATTTTATATTATACAGTTAAACTTAAAAAGACATGGGATTTAAAATTTATCTTTTAAGTTTATTTTTTAAGTTGTAATGATAAATACCAAACAAGTTATAAGAGCAAATGCAAATCTTAGAAAGGAAGACATATGGAAAAAATTAAGAAAAACATATGCCTGATTAAATAACAGTTTTAAATAAACAAATGACACTTACCTTCAATAGAGACCAGACACAATCAATATGCCCATAAAAAATGCTTCTGTGCAATGCTGTCCAGCCTGACTCCTTGTCTTTCACTAGTGGGTCCACTCCTTTCTCAATAAGCCAATCTAACACTGCTTTCTTCCCACAGGAAGAAACAAGGTGGAGGGCATTCCTGCCAAAGGCATCTTTGATAGTTGCAGCATTGTAACAATGACTGGAGAGAAAAGCCTTAATCTGGTTTTCGCTCCCCTTTGTTACAACAGAAAGGACATCCAAAGCATGCTTCAGGGATCGACATTTTGACGTGCAGTCAGGGATAGAAGACATCCTAGTTGTTTTTATTTTGCTTACTTCTTCAGAATTGTTGGGTAAGTCTAATTTTTTAAAAAATGGAAAAGCTGGGACACAAATGTGCTATTCAGAAGGAATTACAGTGAATAAATTACCCTTTTTGTGAGTATAATTGAAATCCTCACAGCAATATTATAAAACTATATATCTTTGTATAATCTTCTTGACGCTTAAATCAAAAAACTGCAAATAACTCTATAAAGTTCATATCAAATACAAGTTCATTTTAAAAAAATTCCACGTTCATAAATTATTCCTGGAGTCCAGCACCAAGGGGGAGTGAGGAGGGGAACTCCCCCTCCACACTATCTTATCCTTTTAAATATCCATAATTGCAAGGGTGACCTATAAGAGAAATAAAAAGGAAGAAAAGGTAAAAAATAAAATCTCTCACTTTCCTTAAATACTTTATAGTACAACTACCCCCACATTTAAATGCCCTTAATCCTTAGTTTAAAAAAAAGTCCATCAATTTTTTATATCTATAGCACCTACATTTACATCAGTCATCCATACCTTTCTTTCCACTCTCAAAGTTAAGGATAACCTCTAGGATATGTGACTGAAATGTATGGTGTTTAAATTTAAAAAAAAATTTAAGATATACTGTCATTAATTCCCCCTCAAAATTCTTCTATTCACTTCAAACACATTTATCCCATTGTTCTTGCCACTTGCTGAAGCAGTTCTGGATGTCCTTTTTCATGGGTTCAGTCATGCTGCCTTGATGTTCTGAATAAATTCAAAACATTTACCTTTCATGGTCTTCTTAACTTTGAAGAAGAGCCAGAGGTTACACAGTGCCAGATCTGATGAAGTGGATGAAGACACACCGTAACATTTTTAAAAACTTGCCTTTCCATTGGATGGCACTCAGCAGCGGCATTCAGCGTATGTTTGATCAAACCTTGAAAAGACACTCAAGAAAGTGGACTTCCAAAATTGCTTCAAAAAATGGCAAGAACAACAGGACAAGTGTCTTCAAAGTTAGGGGGAGTATCTGAGGGAGATTAATGGCAATGTGTTCTTTACTGTTTTAAGTACTCAGTGTCTTTTTCAATCATTCCATGTATGTCTGTACCTGAAGGTGACACTCTTTGCTTCCAAAACTTTCATTCTTCTTCTCTTTTATTTTTACATTCTATAAGCTATGTCCCCAGAAACTATAAGCACATTTCAATCTACATCTTTATAAGAATCCTCTCCAGGGCAGAGATGTAGCTCAGTGGCGCTGTGCCTGCCTGGCAAGCACATGGTCCTGAGTTCGATTCCTGGTGCCAAAAAAAAAAAGAATCTTCTCCCAAAACTTTACCTCCTAAAGCTACATCACCACAACAATAACCAATACTCTCATCCGTTATTCAGTTTTTACTAAATGAAGGGCATTTTCTAACAACACTGATTTTTCTCCCTGAAAGGTATTACACTACACAAGATGATAATTAAACTAAGAATATTAAGACAACTGAATACCTATCTGGAAAGAAGTAACTTTAGATACTTTATACTTTATACCTAACATAATTCTAGCTGGTTCAAAGGCAAACATAAAAAAAGAAACTATAAAAGCATTAGATAACGACATAGGAGTCTCTTCCATAATTATCAAGTATAAGAGGCCTTTCTAAGTATGATCTAAAAATCTAAAAGTCATGAGTTGACTACAAACACAGTTTAAAAACTACATAGAAATGTAAAAACAAACAGGAGAAAAATCTTCCTTAATATATAGCCTCTATAAATCTTAACATATAGTTTTCAGGAACAGAGAAAAACAAAAGACTATTTCGACAGACATGTGTGACTGTACAGGGGAAACTTCTGTATGTCAAATATAGATATGAAACATTCCAGATCTGTAGTTTCCATACTCACTTCAAGCCACACTAACAGAAGTCTGAGATCTAACCAACTTTCTGTTAACTACTGGATTTCCCCTCTGTAAATGAGAGTGCTGAACTAGTTAATTCCTCTTTCTAGCTCCAGTTTTCTTTCTACTCTACATTTTTAAATTTAATATAGTCCTTATAAAAATCATCCCCCCCCATAAAATGTTGATTTGAACCAAAACCCAAAAACAAACAAAAAGCATTTGGTAGTTAGCTAATATGAAGAAAAGTGAATCAAAGCCTCTTTTTTAAAATGTTAAAACTGAAAAGCATGATATTTGGCAAAACAGTCACATGAAGTTAATTTCATTTTTTTGAGGCTACAAAATCCTGCCATCTTTGTATTTTCTGTACATGTCTAATACTTGAAAGGAACTTATTAGTGAATCACTCAAACCCTAAATGAAAGAAGACATAACAGAAAGAATTCCCTACTTTAGATAATTTCAACATTTAAAAGAATGAAGAAATATATAAAATATAAATATATATTATATAAATATATAATATATAAAAATAAAAATCATACCATACTATCATATAGAGAGAAGTACACACAGAATACTATGAATATAAATAGTGATGTGATTAAGAGCTAGAGTTCCCTAGAGTCCTACATATTTGGATTCAAATATAGCAAAGCCAGCTGTTACCAGTTATATAACTCTAAAACTTGTATCATCTTTCCAAGTCCATCTGAAAATGGAGACAATGCCTCCAAACTCAGAGGGTTTGGTAATGATAAATGAAACTGCATACCACCATGCCTAGCACTAAGTATGCATTCAACAAGTAGTAGTTTTCATTACCAAAAGGTAATAAATTTTAATATCAAAATTCACATTGGAGGGCTGGGGATTTAGCTCAGTGGTTCAGCCCCCTGCCTCACAAGCACAAGGTCCTGAGTTTGATCCCTGGTAAAAAAAAAAAAAAAAAAAAATTCACATTGAAGCTTCAATATCACCACTATCTGATACTCCTTCAATGGAACTATGCTTACTAAAAAAATTACTAGAGACCTCCAAATCAACAAACATTTTTGGATACTTCTATTTCTTATCTCTCTCGGTTCCTACGTTTTTAAGTCTTTAACTACACTGATCATGCTATTCCATAATATATCCAAGATCAAAATGAATCAATACTCATATACCACATGCTAAAAATCATCTTGGGACCTCCAGAAGAGGATTCAGTTAGGTGTGGAGACCATAGAGCATATGAAGTTCAGCAACAGAATACCTGTGCTAGTGACCCAGGTACACCACTAACTGGGCACAGAACTTAATTTCTGTAAGATTCAATTCTGTAATTTGTAAAAAGGGGATAACTCTCCTGACTTGTTATGAAAACTAAATGAGACAACACACTCATTCATAAACACCCATCAAAAATTAGGGAAATTGTGGAGAACAGATCAGAAAATACCCCATTAGGTTCTTTTTGGTTTGGAATGTTTTTCATTCGCAGCTTACAAATACCTACTATCTTTTGAACTTTTACATGGACACATATAGAACTTTATATAAATTAACAAATTTAATTCTGATTGCAGCTTCATTATTGCCCCTATAAATATGACTACTTTCAATTTGCAGTGAGGAAGTTAGTCTATGGAAAAATCACTTCCTATTCTACCGCATCAAACTGACCTCTCAAAATGTAGTTAGGAAACCTTAAGTGGAAGTAGTACAGTATAAATGAGAAAAATCACCCTAAGTTTTGGTCATAGGAATTGAGTTGCTACATCTAAAACCTTTTGGGCAAGCAACTTAAGCTTCTGTAATCCTCAGTTTCTTCATTTCTGAAATGACAATAGTAATTGGCCTTATAAGTGTATTATTTTCCCAGTCATAAAAGATTTTCAGCTCCTGAAGGGAAGGGAGAGGGGAGGATTCTATACTTCATATTTCTCAGAGCACAACATATATTCAATAGATAAATTTATTTTAAAGTCCTCTTTAAGAGAAAAAAAACTCCCCTATAAACTTGTATTTATATTAAATTAAATGTTATAAACTATAGTGACTCATAATTTTAAAAATTAAGCACTAAAAATATATTCTAAAATACAAGCATTTATAACTTTAGAAAATAATTTAGTTTTATTAATATATTTTATTCTAATGTTTTCTCAAATATTCTCAGTACAAAATCTAGTGACTTCAGTAATTATCAGCGCAATGTCTATAATTAAAAATGAAGAGCCCAAATTTTAGGGGGCAAACACATTTCTAGATGTGGCAAAGTATTATTCCTCTAATTATAATAGTGAGTTAGTTTTGTATCACTTCTAACAGCCAAGTAATACTGACCTTCTTTAACAGGTATTCATTTTAGTCTACTGAATTTTATAGTTCAGAAACATTTTGATGGTCTAAAATATAAGTTCAGTACACAAAATTTAGCATACTAAAAATTCTTAATACAACCTAAATTTTTAATAGGCCATACCCATTCTCAAATTTTTTCTAAAGTAAATGATGGTGTGCCTAAATTTTGCAAACGTCTGTAAAATGATTCCTTTTAGAAAATGCTTCTATCGTAACAGTATTTTTTGTTGTTGTTTGTTTTCTGGTATCCGGGATCGAACTCGGGACTTTGCGCTGGCGTGGCAGGCTCCGGAACCACTGAGCTAAATCTCCGGCCAAACAATTTTGCAACAGTTTTTTTTTGCTTTGTTTTTTGTACCGGGGATCGAACTCGGAACCTTGCGCTTGCAAGGCAAGCGCTGGAACCACTGAGCTAAATCCCCGGCCCTATCTATCTTATTAGTATTTTGAAGAAGAATAAATAATCAAAATAGAAAAGGGAAATGATGAGAGAGCCTGTGCATTTGTACCACACCGTCGGCAGTAATGGCCAGTGTTGGCACTACCTATTCATAAAAATCACATCCTTTCAGTATCTCTGATAAATTTCGAATTTCAAATGCTCTACTTTGAAGCCTCAAAACATGTACTTCTAAATCTGCTTCGTGAAAAAAAATATCCCGTTTAGCTAACACAAACAAAATTTTGTAACTATGTTGAAAAACAGGAGTCAAAAATGGCCTATGGTCTGGGTCACATCTTTCGTATCTTAATTAAAACTCTTTGAACTTAGGAGCTATAAGAACAAAAGGTCTCTGTACTCTGGTCACACACACAGCCCCAAAAGAATCAGTCACTTTTTACAATAGCAGGCATTTCCATCTAACTTCACAGCTTGCTTCCTGACAGTCAGTATCCTCCGAAAGTACTCAAATTGAGGACTCCAGGAAGGGAATAAGGTAGTGACCTGGGAGCCCCTGGAATGCCTCCAAATCCATGGCTCAAAAGGAAGAGACACTAGACAACCACCAAAACTAGGAAAGTATCATTGTCAGAAGGCGTGTCCGGCTGACTGCCGCGGAGCGCGCAGCCCAAAAGGCCATTCATTAGCGGAGGGGGGCGCAGGGGAGGCGATTGCAGTGACCCGAGCCGCCTAGCCGGCCCGGGCAGCTTATCAACCTTGGCGCTGCGAAGCCCTCTCCCAGCGACCCGTCATCGCCTCTGGCGCCGGCGGTCCCTCACACCCTCCAGAAGGCAAATATTGTACTCTCCAGTCGACCCCGGGCTGGCGGGACGCCGTTGCCGCCGACTCAGCCCGCTTGCAATAGTCGGGCCGCGCGGCGCCCTCCCTCACCAGTCGCTAGATGAAACTGCACCGGTGATATCCACGGGGTCGGCACACAGCCGCACAGCAAGTCATCCTCAGTGAAGGCAACTACAAAAACCGAAGGGCGCCAGGAGGAGCCAGTCCCCAGAGGAGGGTTAGCTCAGGAAGCGGCTGCAACTACAGCCGCGACTACGGGCACTTGGAGGTGGTAGGGAGAAAAGAGCCGGAGCGGGCGGTACTCAGGAATAAAACGAGCGATGATTGGCTGCGGCTCGTGTATGCCTCGTGACGATTGGCTAGCACCTACCCAGAAGGCCTAGCGTGGCAGTACCCCTAAGGTGGCCTTTCTCTGGCGCCGGGTAAGAACTTGACCCTACCGGTACTGGGACCGCGGACGGAGGCCAGGGGCGGGGAAAGTCTGCTGCTGGGGACTCTAGGCCAGGAGTGATGATAAAGTGTTTCTGTCTGGTCAGCTGTCTTCAAAGTAGAGAGGTCTGTCGCTCGAAACAGGAGGATAAACCTGGAATGGAGAAGAGAGGGAACCTGGCCCGATGCCTTGGGCATGAGATCGCCATGTAGCATACAATTGATACCTAGACATGTTGCACAGAAAAGTTTCCACCCATAACCCTAGCAGTGAGGTCACTAGACAACCAAAGCTTCGCCACTCTGGCTAGTTTTACACCCGGGTCATCCGGGAGGCTGTCACTGCCGCGGTCAGAAGGCGTCACTGTGCGGCCAGCTGCCAACCCGATCACGCTTCTCGGTGCCTGAGCCAGGCTTGCACGAAGCTTTTCCCCCTTTAACTCTGAATCTAACGGCCGTTTTTAAAGTAGCTGAGTGAAAACTATTAAGGAAGAAAGTCAAGAATCTATAACAAATGGGAAACATACTACTGTTGAACGTCTAATACCGTAAGCACTCAGTAAACATTTGTTAAAGGAAGGTAGTATGACTCAGAACAAACATGATTTAGGAGTTGGCTCAGCCTCTGCCACGTTGTGTATTGTGTAAGCCTTTTAGACTCGCGTTTCTTAGAGTAGATTCAGCTTTACTCCCAGTTTTGAAGCCTTAGTGGGAGGATAAGTTACTAGCTCCAAAGCACACAGCTTGTTAGTGAAGAATAAAAGGAGACTGATGGGGATCCAGCTCCCATGCTTCTGTTTCCAATACAGTGTCACTTCCTTGCTCCCCTATTTTCTACTTTGACCCGTAACAAAAGGCAATCTGTAATGTAAAGACAGTGATTTTGAAAATGAGCTACAAATGATAGCTTTCATATTCATGAAAAAAGCCAGTAATGACAAAGCTAAGAACATAAATGAATGTATTAACATGAGTTCAAATCTTTTATCTATCTCTTGTATCTGGACAAATTAGCTTTTTCTGGCACCTTGGTTTCCTATTACAAAGTGAGGCCAATTATGAATTTTGCAATATTAGAAATGTAATGTTATAGATAAATATAGATAAAACTATATAGCACTTAGCAGAGTGCTTAGCAGACAGTACCACTTCATAAACATTGCTACTTTTGTAATTAGAATACTAACTTTACAACTGAATTACTGAAAGGAGTCATTCATTTGCCAGGTTTCGGGCACTTTTACAATAAGCGCTGAGAATCCAATAATGAACAAAACTACAGATTTAGATAATCCTAAATATATGAATAAGTTGCAACTTATATTATTGTGCCAAAAATATACTATGATAGATTTCATATAGCCACCTTACTATACTGTGGATTTCATCTGACCTTCCAAAAAATGGCACTTGAACTAAGATCAGAAGAATGAGTTGGAGATAACTAGATGAAACAGTTAAAAGACAGATCACCCCAGGCCATGGAATTGCTCGTTTCCCTGGAAAAAGCTTTCGAAGGTATAGTTTTTTATAGTATAGAATATTAATAATTAAGATATAGTATAAATGAAATACAATTAATGAAAATTATATTGTAGATGTGGTTAGGGAGATGTGGTTAGCCATTCTGTTTGGGGTTTTTTATTTTTTAATTTTAAAAATTTTTAATAAATCTAAAAATAAAACAGTATGACACATAAGTTATAGAAGTAGTATAGAGGGGACATTGTTAGGAAAAACCATTAGAGAAGGCCTCATGTACTTGGGAAGGACGTGGCTCCTTCTAAGGAAAGATTTGAACGATAATTGCTTAAGATTCAGCTGAATCCATTTTGCTAGGATCCAAAAGTACAGAAAAAGCCTATTGTTGGTCTGTTGTTTTGTCTTCCAGCACACTGCCTTCTTTTGGGAATTACTTTTTGTCAGGTAAAAGGGCCAAAGACCAAGACCAGACCAGGCCACAACAAGCCTTTATTAGGGGAATAGATCTGCTGGGCTGTCTCTGAACAAAGGAGAGACAAAAGCAATATGGCCAGGGAGAGTCTTTTATAGAGACTGGGGTGGGGTTTGTAGGGGCTGAGGTGGGGTTGAGTGAGGTAGTGACTAGGAAATGGAGGAGCTGGTGATGTCACTAAGTGGTAGGAGGTGAGCGAGTATTAGGTTACTTTCTAGGCGGGAACAGGGGCATACTGGGAAGAAGGGTTTATTCTTTGGTGGGAGCAACTGTCTTGGCATGATGTCACACAGGGGAGGGGGCAAGGCACAATAGGAAGAGGGCAGCTACTATACATAATAGCTGCTGAGGTGGTGGGTGACCTATCACTTTTCACTCTGCTTCAACCAATTGATTCTAATAGATATTGTCAGTCGTGATATCCTTGATTCCTCACTTAATCTGAGCTAACAGGCATTCATCAGGCCCCTGAAATTTTTATGCTTGAATCAGAGAGCTCAGTGCTGCCTTCTGATGCTCAGGGTCTCACTATGCTGTTCAGGCTGACTTTGAACTTACTGTGGAGCCCAGGCTGGCCTCAAATTTGCAGGGATCCTCCTGCCTCAGCTTCCTGAAGTGCTGGGACTATAGGCATATACTACCACAGCCAGATAAAAAATATTTTTGATGGTATTTACACATAAAGGGTAAAATAGATTGAAATATACCTATACCAATGATTATTTTTGCATGATGGGATTGTGGATAATTCTTAATTTCTATCATTTTGAATTTTGTAATTTGTCATTGCAATAATTAAATTTTACTTGGGTGATTAAAAACTTAAAATTTAAAAAAGTAATTTGCCAGAATTTATAAAGTAGATTTAAAAGAAGAAATAAAACTAAAGAAGGCTTTAGAAGATTATGGTGATTGAAAGGAAGCAAGTAGGAGAATATTCACTTCCAGGCATCAGGAAGAAATTTTAAGCTACATATGATCTGTAATTAAGCCCTAAATGCCATTTTCTAAAGTAAATTAATAATTCTGTCCTTCATAATAAAAATGCCAACTCATCATGATGGCTTCTGTGCTGTCTTTCAAGATGTATAGGGGTAAGGAATGACAGTGCTTCCCCTGCTTCTGCTGGTGACAGAGAGAGATTAGAATTTGGATAGAAACCCAAATGTGATTAGGTTCTACAATGATGATTATTATTATAGACAGCAGTGTAACTGGCCTAGAGATGACCTTGTTGTTGGCCTAGGGAGTGCCTTGTTATTTGATCTTATTTTCTTCTACTTCAGACCATCCTCTACAGGAGAACGCTTGGCTGCCTACAGCTTTCTGGTGCACAAACTGAGCATCAGAAGGCAGCATTGAGCTCTCTGATTCAAGCACAAAAATTTCAGGGGCCTGATGAATGCCTGTTAGCTCAGATTAAGTGAGGAATCAAGGATATCATGACTGACAATATTAGAATCATTTGGTTGAAGCAGAGTGAAAAGTAATTCCCAAAAGAAGGCAGTGTGCTGGAAGACAAAACAACAGACCAACAATAGGCTTTTTCTGTACTTTTGGATCCTAGCAAAATGGATTCAGCTGAATCTTAAGCAATTATCCTTCAAATCTTTCCTTAGAAGGAGCCACATCCTTCCCAAGTACATGAGGCCTTCTCTAATGGTTTTTCCTAACAATGTCCCCTCTATACTACTTGCGTCATACTGTTTTATTTTTAGAATTATTAATTTTATATGTGAGTGTAGTAAAAACAAGGACTTTGGAGGCAAGCTGCCTGGTTATAAAATTTTGTTCCTTACTAGCTGTGAAACCAGGACAAGTTACATAATCCCTCTAGACTTAGGGTCCTCACATCTAAAATGGGTATAATAGAATTTCATAAAGTTATTATAAATTTTCAATGATATGAAATATGTAAAGGTCTCAGGACATGTATTAGCAGACAGTTGACAGAACCTGAACTCCTGAGTAGATTATTTCCAGTGTCTGAAGGGTGGAATGAGGATGAGGAGACCCAAGGAATGACCCACAAGGTGGCAGTATTTTAATATAACTTTAGAACTACATACAGTTGAAAGCATAGTCTGCCAACAAGTCTCAGAAACTCAAGGCAAATTCAAAGCCTGCATGAAATAAGCAAAATGTTGTGAGAAATCAATCCTATCAAGTAGGCTTCCATTATACACAAAACACTGAACTCTCAAAACAGACTGAGAATGTGCAATGTTCCCTTCTCACACCATCTTATGTATAGTTATATTCTTTCTCTGTGTACTGAGTAATTAAATCCAGCTATTGCCAGTAGGAGGGAAGGAAGGGAGGGAGGGAGGGAGGAAGGGAAGGAAGGAAGGAGGAAAGAAAGAAAAAGAGAGGAAAGGGAAGAAAGAGGGAGAGAAGGGACAAAGAGAAGGAAGAAAGGAAGAGAAAAGAAAACCTGCATTTGCTATAGATTGGAGTCTTTTCTAGTCACAAATCTATAGAATCGGCAGAAAAGAAACACTTCAAATAATTAAACATAAAGTTCATTGGTAAACAAAAACTGAGCCATTGATGGTCCAGAACCTATGAGGATTCCTTGGAAAATGAATAAAGCTGGATAGAAAGAAAGGAGTATCAGCCCTAAATAACAAGACAAGGCTGCTAAAAAAAATAGCAGCAGCATAAAGAAGGTTCCCACATCTAGAGGTGCCAAGTACTCCCAACCAAACTACAAAGCAATGAATTGAATGGTCACCAAGAGCAGGTGAGCCAATTAAGCTTCCTCATCCTATCTCAAAAGCATCTGTCTCTACTTAGAACATAGGATCTTGAATTTAATAGACAGGACAGTCCCATGTGGCTGGGGAAACTTGGAAAATCGGGAAACTCCTATACCCAGAACACTAGGTAAT